TCGTTGAGGAAGTCATCGCTGGACCTCGTAGCGACCGGGTAGAGCCGACAGGGCAGTGGCTTCCGGGTCTCAAAGGAAAGTCGCAAACGTCATAGGTCCCAAACTCCGGAAAACGTCACATGGACCTGGTGATTTTCCATGGCACCCTGCAAGACGAGGTTTTCGGGGCCCCATGTTAGTCTTCCAAACGAGTTGTGACGTGCGACCTGTTCACGACATGAGGCGCCAATGAATGGAATTGAAGCGCTGAATGGACTCCGCATTGCTAAGATCTCCATGGTTGCATGGCTTTACCATTTCGTGTATGGATGCATGTATCCTGCTGTGAGCAACTGTGGAGTGCCGGCTGGTGAACCCGTTTTACGCTACTTAGAAAGGGACCGTCCATGGCAAATCTTGGGGAAACCATTATGGAATCCTGGCGTTCAACATGGCTGCATGGCACTTGCTGTGGCTCATGGCACCAGGATACCTTCCGCTTGAGGACCACGGTCAACCCACCTGGTGTCGGTCGGTGGACCGACCAAGCTTGACCCATCCCAGCATGTCCAGGTTGGGTGTATCCCATTCCAGGTAACAGTGGATGATGATGATGATGATGATGATGATGATGGTTAGTCATTAAAGGCCTTTGTCCAAAAATAGTGATGATATAATCATTTATTGACTGTTACAGGCTATGGGACACACACGCACACACTATTTCCACACCCAGCCAGCTCATGGGCAACTGGATCCATCGAACCCCATCAGCACTGGCTGTGAGCCGATCGCGCTGCGTGCGCTGTTCGTTGCCACCGAGCCACTCCTTCTGTACAGCCTTGGAGGGCAATCAGGGCTGGCATATATACCCCCAAATAGATAGAAATGCAGATCCCCACTAAGAATGTATTGGAAACCGTTTCTGTCTAATTAAGGAAGTCAAAAATGTGGATTTCTAATCTCCTTCTCTCAAGGCCACCCAGAACTGGCTTTTGGATGCTTTATCTGTGCTTTTGGTCTTGGAAAGGTACTGCACTGGGTCTGATGCTGGTGGACTGCAATCGGACCCCACCACTCATGCAAATTCATGCAGACTTGGTGAACAATCCAACAGCATGGCAGCTTCTCTGGTTTGAATTGAAAGCCGTGGTTGTCCATGCCCTCACTCAGCAACCCCAAATCCCCACGAAGGACAAATGATCCTTTCCTTCCACTCTTGCGAAGGCTCCTGCAAGCCCCATACCCTCTACTAGCAAGTGTCACAGCAAAGCAACAAGCTGAGGAAAAACGAACACCACCTCCGAAATAGTCACCTCATATAATCAAACAATCACGACACACACACACACACAACAAATCCATACAAACACGCACACTTGTTTATATATAATTATAGATACTTTTTTGGGGCCACCTACCAAAGATTCCACAAAAACGAAGCCCCAAAACTTCACCACTGAGCCACTGGAAGCGGAGTGCTATGGTTGCTATGGAGGGAGCGGTAGGTCTGTAGCTTCCTGAGAGGCCGCCAACGGGTCAGAAGCCGCTTCCGCCAGCGGCGGGGTAAACCGGGTTTTCCGCCAGGTGTAGGCACCCAGCCCGCATCCGCCTAATTATCAACCATCAAAATCGAAAGCCAGTGCTGAAAAAAAGCAGGCTGAAAGATCAGAGTCATGGGCAAGATGGGCTAGTTCCCAAACGAAACATAGCATGGTGTTTTTGCAATGTCGCAAGTCTTCGCACTTTCACCCGGGCTTCAGGTTCAGGTGCCCCAAGGAGCATCGGACGAAGCGCTCAAAACCTAGTGTGTCTCCATGATTCTTCCCTGATCTTGTGTCCTTGTGGATCTTGTGGCATCCTCCATCCACAACTTGTTCCAAACTCAATATTAAGAGCCATAATGTTTAAAATCCATCGACTGGGACGACTGGAGGATGCTGGAGGCAACCACCACCACGATGACCCTCCACAAAAAAAAGAGCCACGGTCTCCGACGGCCGAACTCACCCCCCCCCCCGCCGTCTCTGCTGTCTCGTGTCTCCACTCCGGCATTGCTCTGCGTCCCATCATCGCCCAAGCTCCCCACCGTGCCCATAGGCAAACTGGGCGCCAAGGTCGCAGAGGTCACCGGCAAGCTTGCCGAGCCCAGGGCATCGGTGCCCATGGCGCTCATGGCCAAGCTCGCGCTGCCCACGGGCAAGCTCGCGGTACCCAGGTCCCGCGGGCTCTCGGGGCTCGGGTTGCTTCGGCTGTCGCCGTCGGACGAGGGGGGCCGCGGAGGGTCGATTCGGGCGGAGGACATGCCGGGCTCGATGGGCTCGCCCGTGTCGGAGAAGATCCTGCGAGGTCGGCCGTGGGACGGGAGTTTTGGCCAATCAGTTGAACCGAATAGGTATATATATATATATATGCCAGTTTCATGAGTTTCATGGATTGTTTGGGTATTGATATGCAGTCCGGCCAACGAATGAAATCGTGCAAAACAGACCTATTTAGAGGATCCTATCACGTCTTCATGGAGCCCACGGTTCCTAGAATCAAGGCATTCGTTGATATAAGCTGAGGATCTGCAAGGTTTAGGCATTGGTTGGCTTGGCAAGCATTCTGTGAGTGGCTTCATGCAACAAGGTTTGGACAATCAGCAGTCATTGAAGTCAAACCAAGAACTTGCCAAGATTCTAGGCTTGTCGTGTCCAATCTTCCAGTGGGGGACGGTTATGAGAACTATGACGGGATATCTATCTGTCATACTAGTAGTTTCATCATAAGCAGTGTATCGTTCCTCTTCTTGAATCCGTGTCTGCAAGATGATCAAGTCTAGGCCTGGCTTTTACGCTACACTTCAAGATCCCCAAAAAGTGCTGGTCTTTTCACCGACTGTTACTGGTAATGGGCTCAAAGGGCTCCACCCTAGTACTGACATATAAAGTAGGTGGGTGCTTTGGCCACCAAGCGACACACACTTCCAAACGTGCACCCCGCGCACCCGGCTCCTCACTGTACCGCTCGGTCGGCTCTTTGACCGACCGCCACGCATGCAGCTCTCCTAGACAGATGGATTGAATGATTGGTATATAGATCATCCAGGAACAGCATGACAACAACAAGAAGGTACACTTTGGAAATGGACCAGAGCAAGGCTTACACTTACGGTTCAGTCAGGGAAAACTGTACAAATACCTGTCTTCAATGAGCTTGATGTATGGAGAGCCTATAACTATAATAATAAGCATCATTTCAATGAGCTAGGAATGCATATGAGGGTGGTGCAGGACAACATTATGTTGAAGGAGGTTTCAATCACGAGCACTTTAAGATTAAGGATTGCAAATGTCATGATGATTCATGATGTCACTCATGATGTCATTAAAGTTGATCAGTAAACAGCCACGAAATACCATACCCTAACAGTATCCAAAATAAAGACTATCAAGCAGCAAGCATTGAACAATGGTTTCTATGGTGGCAACGTTCTTCATAATGCTATTGATATTGTGGCATGTTTGGGGGCAGGTCAGCCATTGCAAACGTTTGCAACCGGTTCCTGTGGCATATTTTGTTTGCCAAGTGGTGCCTGGTCCAAGATTGAAGATTCAACATTCAACATGTCTAGAAAATACCCCAAATGCTCAGAATATTCAGAATACAGGCAAGAATGCTGGACATTGTCAGGGGAGTTGCATAATATGCATCTGTTTGATTGAATAAAACAACGCATATGGCATATATATATATATATTCACAATATATATATATACACCATATATATCTATATATGTACAGTATATTGAATATTGTTTTATATTTATACAGTATATGTACATAAACTGAGGCATGATTAAGCTGATGCATCCACAGTGTTCCACCTCTCATTGGGACCTCTCAAAAGTTGGAAACCTTGGGAACATGAGAGTCTCTTCTTCCAGTGCGCGATCTCTATTTGCACATTTATGAACTGGGGAAATCACTTCATGAGAGTGTTCAGGGTCTATCCTAAGGTTTTGACTGACCGTTCATGGAATCGTCCGAAATGGTTATCTCCCTTCTGCCGCACCCACCCCTCAAATGGAGTGGGCAACAAGAAAAGGATGTCATCAAAGATATAATATGCGAAACCGAACCCTCGCTTGCCCACTCATCTAAGCAGGTTGAAAGACAACAAATTGTGTGGAAGTCGAATCATTCCGGGTCGGTCCCCCTGCGTCAGGTGGAAGCAAAACCACAGGCATACACTCCATTTATGGAACATTGACCTACATTGACCCCTAAAACCACCTCATATCAGGTCACTTGTGGTATTTTGATTAATCCCATACATGGTGTCTGAGAAATGCGTATCCAGTCCATAGCCGCCAAATCCACTGCCCGCTTGCTCCAAGATGCTGTCTCGCTCTTGTTGCTCTGCTCCGTGTGGGTCGTGTGACTTGTCTGCAGCTTCCTGGCAAAACGACTCAGCTCACAGTCGGACATTGAGAAGGGGTCGAGCCGGTGTGCCCTGGGGGAGGGCCTTGCGAATCAAGGCCCAAGCGAACAACTGGCCCATCTTGTAGATTCGGGAGCGAGGATTGAATAGTGAGTGTCCACCAAACATATCCGGTCACTTATCCGGTCGTTATGTGCTGAGCAGGGTGTGGTCAAACCAGGTAATATGGTAATTAATGACTGACTCTCCCTCACTCTCCGTAGGCTTCTCAATTTAGGAGGATAAAGTAACTTAAGTCTCAGCTGTGGGCCAAGAACGCCATGATTAACACTATTCAAAGGTCGATGGAAACAACCCGCTTGCCTCGCTCAGTTTAGACATGAGCTGTGTGTTCGTTGTGCTTCGCATGGTGCCATGAGCTGCTGTGCCAGGGCATCCATGTGAGGGTGCCACAGACATCACCCTACAAAATGAGCTGTTTTATTATGCTGTGTTCTAAATGCATGTATACAGGGTGCATTTCATTCAATGTGAGGACGTCAGGTTTCGCACATGACGCCGTTGTGCACATTGGCATCCAAGGGGCATCATGGACATAACAACATGTTATGATGAATTGCTTTCCAGGAACAATTCGTTAAACTCATGAATCAAGAAAGCAACACATTCCAAGCGTCCAAGCAGCCAAGCCCACCACATCCCACCAAAAAAAAGACAGTCCCCGTCCTTAGGCGGCGGCCGATGTGCATGCTGCCCGACATACCGATGGAGCCATCCATGTCAGCATCGCTGTAGGTGCTCCTCGACAAATGCCAGCGGGCATGCAGCCGCTCTCCGGAGGTGGGGCATACATTGTCGGCACTCGCTCCAGCTTCAGGTTCACAGTCACTTTTCTTGCAAAATGGCGGCACGAGGACACGCGCGAACGAGGACCCCCCCAAAAAAACATCAACCCAAAACGCTCATGGACCCTTATTATATGAAGGATCCAGGACCACCGTCACCAAGTTCATTATCAGTCTCTGGGTCTTCCAGGCCCTCTTTGTGCTCCCCTTCCTAATCTTCCGTCCCTATAGGGTCTCAAATCCCTAGGTTTTGCGCCCGTTTGGGAGCGACGATCCCCAGAACAGCTCCCCAAAGCCCCACCCGCCCACCCGGGGTCTCCTCACCACCACGCTGCGGCTTCGAGGGCGGCTGCCCGTGGCGGCATCCCGCGCGGCGTTCGGGGACGATTCCACCTGGTGGTGCGGTCGGCGCGGTGGTGGTGCGGTCGGAGTGGTGCGGTGGTGCCGCGTCGTTCCTCGGTGGCCTCGCCCGCGCAGGGTGAGTGCCAGGTGAAAGAGGATCCAGCAGATGAGGAGTTCGACGTTCGCGGAGGGACCCGCGCGGAGTGGGAACAGGGTGGAACTTCGTTTTTGGGTTACAACTGGGACCAAGCATGCAACTCTTTCAGTGGCAGTGGGAGTCCAACAGAAGGTTTGGGAAGGATGGTGCCTCTGCCCTTGCAAAATCCCTGATAGGCGTGCAGCCGCTAGCGAGCAGGGCACCTAGAGAGGAGCACATAACATGCACGCCAAATCCCAAAAGCAAGACCAGACTGATCACTGCAATGGATCTGCAACCTTTGACCGCCTTTAAGACGGTCACTCTGATTTAAGGACATTCTTTATTACAGCTATGGAATGCTATGGACCCCTTCAATCAAACATCTTAGTCCACTTCCTGCAGCAAACTCATGCCCTTTAATTTCTCCAACAGCAACCTCTTGTTTTGTCACCAAATTGCCGACAAACATGGCGAAAGCGGCACCTGACCACCTTCTCCCTCTTCTTCCCTCCACTATTTTGTGGATTGGCTTTATCTTCTTGGGTTGTTGGTTCCCCATCCCGGCCCACCGGCTCATCCGTTGCACAGTACCGCCCACCACGACACCGGCCACATCTCCGCGCCTCGGAGGCGTCGGAGCTCATGCGGGTCATGGCCATGCCATCGCCCTTGTCCCCTAACTTGCGGGTGAAGAGCCGCGTGAGGCTGCGCCTGCGCGCTCGGCCGAAGGCACGGAAGCACGGAAGCGCGCAAGCACTGCGCAGGCACTGCGCAGGCACTGCGCGCATTGGGCGTGGGCTTGGGAAAGGAGCTGGTGGAAAAGAGCGGGAAAGGGTTGAGAGGATTTGAGAAGTGTTTTTGGTTGCATGGTGGTGGGTCTAGAACAAGGGGAGTGCAAAGAAAATTCTGCTGCGGAACATGCATTTGTTCATGTTGGGGGGGAAGGGGCGGGAAAGGTGTGCACAAGAGAGAAGGGGGGGTCCTATGTGCTATGCGGTCCAGTCAACGGTTTCTTTGGTTGGGTTGGATTTTTCGTTCAGGGACCCCTATCTCCTCAAGGGTTCCAGACGTTCTGCAGATTCCTTTCAGTAAAGAACCCCATGGAGTAGCACAAAAAGGTCTCGGATCAAGACTTGGCTCGGTTCTTGGTACCTTTGTTTTCGCAGAAGCACCACCGGATTAATTATATAATATATAATCGCACTTCATTCTTATAGGCCTACCTTGTATAGACCTTTGGGGTAGTGTATTTAATCCACTGTTCACTTGATACTCCTTGGGTCCTCCATGTGTCAGCAAAGGATTAAGAACCCCCCCACCCCTTTTAGGTTGGTCCGACCTTTCCTCTGCACTGGGCGAGTGGTTCTGATGGGTGATGAATCCGATAGACTTCATTCCTCCCACTTGGGACCTTCGGAGGTCCTCGACACTCCGCGCACGAGCGGAGTTTCGCCCTCCCTTGAGGGCAACACGACTCCCAGACTCGCAAATCCTCACCCGCCATTCATGGGATGTCGTTGTGCACATGTCCTTCCGTTAAAACCCTAAAGGCTCACATCCATCACAGCGCGCACCGCTCCGCGGCCCAGACGGGCCCAAACGGCCCAAAACGGCCTACGTTTTCTTCTCTTGGTGATGCGACGGATGATGGCATCCGCCATGTCTGCAGAGACTAAACCATCGTTTTCTCGCTCCTCAGCTGGCCAAACTAGGCTAAAGATCGGTCGCTCCACGACAATGCACCGACCTATATATGCCACAACATGCGCCATTCTAGAAAACATAGTTAGACAACAAATGGTTTCTCATTCTAATCCATTTTAGGTGGGGATCTGCTTGTCCATCTATGTGGGGATCCGTATAGAAATTCTATGTGGGTCACCAATGGAAGACCCTACGCTACTTGCGGATCTCTATTGGACACCCCTTGGATTTAATTGTCCCTTCCAGTTTAATCCATAGCATCCCGTAGCCGTCTATGGTGAGGTGGGCAATTGTGGAGCATGGAGAACTCCAAGCGAATGGGCTGAAATGCATGGCCAGGTGAACTCTCCCCTCAACCTCTGGCCCTAGGAGAAGCTTGCACCTTCAAAATTCGAACAAAATGAACCCAATAGCTTCCTTTCAGATCTTCACCCTCTCAGTTTGATGGTAGTACTTTCTTCCACCTGCATCCTCACCCAGCACCATGCGTTTCTGTCTTTACTGAAGCTCCTGTGGACACCACCGTCCACGTCTTTACGCTACCAAGAGGCCAAGTAGTAATAGATGCGGTGCAGTTTCCGCTCCACCAAGTTCTCTACCTGTTCTTCGTGACGAACGCAACGCACGCACGACCCCAGGAGACCAGCGGAGGCACGTTCGAGGCACAGGTGGATGCGGCTCGTCTCAGATGAGGAGGGTCGGGCTGGGGCCTCCAATCAAGTGGTAGACAGTACTCGGAGGAATACTGAGAGGTTACAGTATCAATGGGCTAGAGTGCCAACTCAGATTCACCCCTTGCTATCAGTCATAGGCCTTTGTTGACATCATCTGCCTGGATTTACTTGGCCCTTTACAAATTGGCACCGTAGGATCAAGCATGGTGTCATGACGTTGATGATGTGCGCAAGAGCCCAAATTCCAGCCAAGGTGCATCTTTGGTATTTTCCTTGACGGGCCTAAGATCACGTGAGCAAATAGGCACTGGAGAAAAAAAAATCAACAAGGGTTCTTTGCCTGCTCTCTGCATATCTCTGCCTGCCTGCTGCGACAACTTGTGGCCCAGAGGGGGGTGGCGAAAGCTAGGGAAAGAAACAACGCTGGGGCTCTCTAGGCAGCAAAAGCCTGGCCGGGAATCGCAACATGCCATGGCCAAGGGAAAAGGAGAGTGCCAACAGCGCCCCTTCAATACGACCCCAACACAGCCAACACATGGTAACACACAACCACCCCAGCAACCGCAGCTGCCACAACAACAATAACTGTAACCAGCAGCGGCAGCGGCAGCAAGCAGAGCAGAAGCAGCAGCAGGAGTAGCTAGCAAGCAGCAGCACCAGCTACCAAGCAGCAGCAGCAGCAACCAAGCAGCAGCAGCAGCTGCTAAGGAGCAGCACAAGCAACAGCTACCAAGCAACAGCAGCAGCACCTACCAAGCAGCAGCAGCAGCAGCAGCTACCAAGCAACAGCAGCATCAGCTACCAAGCAGCAGCAGTAGCAGCAGCTACCAAGCAGCAGCATCAGCATCAGCAGCAGCCACCAAGCAGCAGCAGCAGCAGCTACCAAGCAGCAGCAGCATCAACAGCAGCTACCAAGCAGCAGCAGCAGCTACCAAGCAGCAGCAGCAGCTACTAAGCAGCAGCAGCAGCAGCAGCTACCAAGCAGCACCACCAGCTACCAAGGAGCAGCAGCAGCAGCAGGGAAAGAGTGAGCTTTCCTTAGAGCCTTTCGCGCCCCAACATTTGGTCTCGAACAATAGCACATATAGGTGCTGCCTGAGTAATTGTAGAAGGGCGACGTGGAAAGACAGATATATCTTATATATCTGTTGTTTCCACGAATAAATGCTGACGATGCAGCCAGCAGCGGTGTGCATGATTGACATCTAGGGTTGCATGCGAACATGTGTCAGCGACCGAAGACTCCGTCGCAACGCTTGTGCATGCTCCCTGTCGCTCGAACATGGAACGCGGACTATGAGTGAAGCAAACAGCCCGTTCAAACATCTGACTGGGTTCTGTCATTCATGTGTGTAGTAAGAATCATCTTTTGATCTGCATGGATAGCGGATAGTGCATTCTGATTTGTACTCTTTGGGGTTGTGGGGTGGGTACATGCCTGTACAAGCTTCTTAAGGATATAATGAAATTAGCATCGTTTCACGACTCAGAGGGAATGCAACTACCCTCGATTCTAAAGAATAGGCTTTCTAGAGCACCAACAGCAGCCAACCAGCAGCAGGCAGCCAGCATCCAGCAGCAGCAAGCATGCAAGCAGCAGCAACCAGCAAGCAGCCAAGAGCCAGGCGCAGATGAGATGCCGGCAGCAGCAGCAGCGACCAAGCAGCAGCAGCAGCAGCAGGTACCGAGGAGCCGAGGAGGAGAAGGGTGGAGTTGAACCCCGCGGGGGCGGGGGGGGTGTCTAGTCCTGATATATCAGGTAACAGCACCCAGGTCCTGGGCCCACCCTCCTTGCTAAAGCAAGACAGACTCCTAGCTAGCTACAGCTAGCTTTCGTGACATGGCAACACACAACCACCCCAGCAACCGCAGCAGCAGCAGCAGCAACAGCCACAACAACAATAACTGTAACCAGCAGCGGCAGCGGCAGCAAGCAGAAGCCACCAAGCAGCAGCAGAAACAGCAGCAGTAGCTAGCAAGCAGCAGCACCAGCTACCAAGCAGCACCAGCTACCAAGCAGCAGCAGCAGGAGCAGCTACCAAGCAGCAGCAGCAGCTACCAAGCAGCAGCAGCGGCAGCTGCTAAGCAGCAGCAGCTACCAAGCAGCAGCAGCAACAGCTACCAAGCAGCAGCAGCAGCAGCTACCAAGCAACAGCAGCATCAGCTACCAAGCAGCAGCAGCAGCAGCAGCAGCAGCAGCTACCAAGCAGCAGCAGCATCAACAGCAGCTACCAAGCAGCTACCAAGCAGCAGCTGCAGCAACAGCCACAACAACAATAACTGTAACCAGCAGCGGCAGCGGCAGCAAGCAGAAGCCACCAAGCAGCAGCAGAAGCAGCAGCAGTAGCTAGCAAGCAGCAGCAGCAGCAGCGGCAGCAGCAGGAGCAGCTACCAAGCAGCAGCAGCAGCAGCTACCAAGCAGCAAGCGCAGGGAAAGAGTTAGCTTTCCTTAGAGTCTTTCGCACCCCAACATTTGGTCTCGAGCAATAGCACATATAGGTGCTGCCTGAGTAATTGTAGAAGGGCGACGTGGAAAGACAGATATATCTTATATATCTGTTGTTTCCACGAATAAATGCTGACGTTGCAGCCAGCAGCGGTGTGCATGATTGACATCTAGGGTTGCATGCGAACATGTGTCAGCGACCGAAGACTCCGTCGCAACGCTTGTGCATGCTCCCTGTCGCTCGAACATGGAACGCGGACTATGAGTGAAGCAAACAGCCCGTTCAAACATCTGACTGGGTTCTGTCATTCATGTGTGTAGTAAGAATCATCTTTTGATCTGCATGGATAGCGGATAGTGCATTCTGATTTGTACTCTTTGGGGTTGTGGGGTGGGTACATGCCTGTACAAGCTTCTTAAGGATATAATGAAATTAGCATCGTTTCACGACTCAGAGGGAATGCAACTACTCTCGATTCTAACGAATAGGCTTTCTAGAGCACCAACAGCAGCCAACAACCCCAAACAGCAACAACAGCAGCAAAACGGAGCAGACAACAAGCAGCAGGCAACCAGCATCCAGCAGCAGCAAGCATGCAAGCAGCAAGCAGCAGCAACCAGCAAGCAGCCAAGAGCCAGGCGCAGATGAGATGCCAGCAGCAGCAGCAGCGACCAAGCAGCAGCAGCAGCAGGTACCGAGGAGAGAAGGGTGGAGTTGAACCCCGCGAGGGGGGGGTGTATAGCCCTGATATATCAGGTAACAGCACTCAGGTCCTGGGCTCCCACCCTCCTTGCTAAAGCAAGAGCTAGCTACAGCTAGCTTTCGTGATGACCCGGTGCTCGCCAACTCAGGGCAGAGACCACTTGTAACGTTGTAGCATCTTGTAATAGATATGGTAGATTCCAACCTTCTTCCAGCAATTCGTTCCGCAACCTTCTTGGGGCCTTCCGCGGAGATCCGAGCATGCCCGGGCATGCCCGGGACTCGGCGGGGACCACCGGCCGGACCGAGGAGCTTCTTGAACTTCACCGCGTTGAACATCTTCGGCATCATCGCGGAGACCCGCACCTGGGTGAGAAGGTGCGGGTGAACTCCAGGGGAGCAGAATGGTGTGCGTTTTGTGGTTGTGGATGGGTCATTGAGGTCAGTGAGGTAAGTTTTTTGGAGTACTTAGGGGCACCTAAAAGTATCTAAAAGTAACAGCTGCAAAATTTTGAGAGCAAGGTTGTCCTTGGGGGTGATAAGTGTAATGTAGATCTTTCAAAGGAAACGCAGCTGGCTTGTGCTGGACGAACGTTGGAATTTACCACGCACTTCCCCAAGAATGGGGTCGCTCCCCCCTGACCATCCTTATCAACATCAAAAGTTAGGCCCGGCTCCAAGTAGTTCCTTCATGTCCAAAGCGCACACTAAGTGGTGAACGAAGAGTTGGCATTCGAACCTGCTTTTACTAAGTGGTGTCATCTGCCCCCGTGAACTGGCACTGGAAGAAGGATTGCTGTACCTCAAAAGGGGTACTAGAATATATATATATATAGGCCATACATGCCCATAACTATTTTGGCACATCTTATCACCAGTGAGCATACCTGCAAGATCCTGCAAGTCATCTTGCTTGTGCCAATGCTCGGTGGCATGATATTGACTGGTTGGATTTCCCAAGCCAACCAACGTCCACCCTGCCGTTCGAGGTGCCATGCGGGTGAAGCGGTTTAGCCGTGTCGCCTGCAGTGGCCAAGGCGACGAGATCTCGCCATCCAATGTGAGACATGTTCCCCGAGGATGTGCGATAATTTACGTACCAACTTCATGACCGCATCTTCCAAAGGCACCTTACTTGAAACATTTTGACGCCACCTTCCGCCGGGCATGAAACCACTTGGCGGGAATGCACAAGGCTCACAATATACAGTAGGTAGATGGTTGTTCTTCTGATGGACTCCTGTTCCCTTGCGACTCCGTAAGCTACCGGGGTGGAGCTGCGTCCAGCATGCAGCACATTGCCCCTATTTCAAAGCGCACAAGCTCCAGTGGTCTAACAACGTGGAGCCATGTTTAAACACGAGGCACAATACAAGCAACTGCTGATCATGGAGTGTTGGCCTAATCTCTCAACAGCTTGGCAGCTGGATGCAATTTCGGCTTTCCAGGGCTTGTAACCTTCCGCTTGGCAATGGCGTTGTCCAAACATCGTTCGGCAAAGAGTCAAAGAGAAATCCATGGCGACTTTATGAGTGCAGTCCTAGTGCTGCACGACTTCTAGGTGCGGACTGCAGCTGAATTAGGGCTTTTTCAGGCCCTCATTATCAGGGGCCCGATTGTAGCACCTTGGCTTAGCAGCCGCCGAAGTTGAATACGCAGCTTGTAGCATCTTGATATCAAATTCTGCTTGGCATGTTCTTCTTGAAGGCCTTGCAGCTTTGCATCCATTTCAGCAATAACGGCTTGATTGGGCTTGAGGGCGGTCCGTCGGCGCCTCAACAGTCCCTGTATCTGCTTGATTTCTTTGGCGCGGGCAGCGCCTGCTTCATCAAGCCTGCGGTAGACACCTTGGTTTCCATTCAAATTGGACACAGCTTCTCGGATCTCATGGTGATTCTGCAAGGTCAACGCCATACTCAGCTCGGCTTGCCGTCTCTTTCGCATCAGCCCATGTGACAGCAGCTTGTCCAAGAACTGGACAGCTTGACTGAAGTGGGTACATCTCAAGTCCCATCGATGAGTGCCTTCACAAAGGACCCATCGGTTGAAGCCTTGTGACCGCAAGAAGGCATGAAGAATCTTGAGAATGTAAGGGTTCACTTGCGACAAAGACAAACACAAATGGGCATCCGTAGCCCGAACGGAAATGCTTCCTTCTGCATCAAAAAATCCCGCGGCATATGACCAAGAGCATGCCAGGACCGCGCTAGGTGTGTGATCACACTGCTTCAGTAAAGTGAGGTTTGAAGCTACCCCAGCTCGTAGTTGGGTTGGAATGGGCCCCTGCACTGCAACATTGAGTTGTGCTTGCTTCATGGATGGCAAGCTACTAAGCAAACCCGCGGCTTGGATTCCGGTAGTGCTGGATGCTTGCCATTTCAACGATGCTTGGTGGAGGCCTGTGGCATCACGCTCACGATAGATCCCCCCGCCCAACATCTGTCGAAATCGAACCAGAACGCCAGCTCCATCGAGTGCTTGTGAAACCATGAGGCGTATGCACCCATCTCGCATGAACATGGTGACGCAACCGTCTCCATCAAAAAATCCACGCAAATATTCAAGTTCCGTATTTGAAGGTTGCATCGCCGGAGCAGCCATCCTGACCGGAAGCCGATAGGTGGTGCCATCGACTTCAAACTCCTCCAGGCGAGGGCACTTGACTCTTCTCAGCAGCCCCTCCAAGCGATCACAGCGCCTCTGCCAGCCGCTCAGGGAACATATTGCAGAGTATTGGGCGGTTTGCCCTAAACAGTACCAAGAGCTCGGGTTAGCAAACCGCTGACATGAGCGCGCCAGTGTCAGCATCGCTCAAGGGGCAGCGTCAAACGTGCTCATCTTGACACTTGGGTGTCAAGTCGCAGCTGGCCGGCGCGAGAATCATGAAAACGTGTTGAGACATCTTTTCCGAGTTGAAGCGTATTTGCCCTGAATCGGGGCAATAATGAAAGAAAACAAACACCCAAGTGAGTTGCGGTGGTCTGGCTTTGCTGCTAGCTGACCACATAAAGGGTCTGGATGTGTATATTGTATATATATATAGCTCCCTTTTGGATCACCACGCAGCTTTCAAGCCACCACCTCGTGAAACAAACAATATACAAAAAAACAGCACCTTGCAGTCTTGCAGGAACACCCGAACAATTCGCCACGAATCCACCCAGCTGCCCAACATCCTCTTCCATGTCTCCCACTAACAGGCCATTGGTGCCTTGGAGGATCTCACCACCAGGCGAATGGCCTGGCATCGCAGAACCCACTATGAGCATTGCTTGGAGCGTCCCCGGCCTCGTACCCAGAGCGGCTACAATTTGTGTCACTGCTTCTTGAATCAATTATATGCATAATCACAGTATATCAATGAAACGCTTTCTACTGCAGGTCCTGCAGTCCTGCACGCTCATGAAAATGAGGCGCCTAACTAAACAAAACCTACGATGGGCGAACGATTTTCTTGGCTGGCATTACTGTGGGCAACCCTTGGAAGATTAGTTTGCTCACATTCTGACACATGTTGTGGATTTTGCTTTTGGGTGGTTCCATTTTTGGCTTCTCTTCAGCACCGTTGCCGTCCAATGCTTTCACATCACCCCCGCTCCCACCAACACTCACTCTGCCAGGGCTGCCTTCATGAGGCGTGTGGAGCGGCCGGCGACCAACATGTCGCTGTCGAAGAGCTGCTGAACGAACCAAGTCTCTGGCAGCAGGGAGATCCTCGAAAAGAGACCGCTCACACGTTGGCAGTGAATGTGGAGGTGACGATTTCAAGGCATTTGGGCAGAGATTGTAGACAAAGAATCTAACCGTCTCTTTACTTTGCATCAGATCACATGCATCAAATGACAGATCAACACCTGCACCGCGGTTGCTTCAATGTCTATGTGTGTGCCTCAATCTCGGCGGCTGGTTTCGTTGCATTCTTCGTCCGAGTGGCAGCGCCACGATGTCCAGCCAGAAAAATGCTCTGCCAAAGTAGCCGGCTTTGAACAAGCCTGCAAATGTTGGTGCCGTAGTGGGTCCCACCACAATCAAAATCTCCAAAATGTGTCTGTCGCTCCCTCATCGCCCTCACATGTCTCTCTCGCCAGCGTTTTTGGGAGGGCTGAGTGATAAGTGTAAGCCCACCCTCCGCTCCCTATCATTGATAATATATGATAATTTTAATCCAGTGGTTGAGGCCAGCTTGCCAGTGCATAACCTCCCATCAATCCCATTCCAGCGACCAGCCTTGCAAGATCAATTCCTGAGTCTCACATGGGGGCGTGGGCGCATGTATATAGGCGCAAACACCCCAGCATGCAAGCTTGCTGTTTGCCAAATCATTTAAATCAATCTGAGGGTTGAATCGTAGAATCGTAGCGCCTATTTGGTTGTCCTCCTGTCCATTTCAGCTCAATAAACGCACTGACCAGCTCCAACATCCGCAAAACATCTGACATCTTCACATCCCTGATGGCACTCTGTTGAAAGCCACTTTCTCTGGCATTTGACAGCCTATAGGACTCAAACTTAATTCCGCCGAGCGTCGATCAAGAAGAGGCCAAAGACCACCGTGGTCACGATGCTCAACACGAATCGGGACTGAACGGTGCCAAAGATGGTGTCCAAATCCTGGGCGAAAAGGATGTCGAAACACACTGAAGTTAAGGTGCTCAAGCATCAACATTGAATCTTGAAACTGTTCTAGACCTAGGCGGCACAGCTGTGATCAAGCCGAGTGCAGAAGGGAAAATGCATGAAACTTACAGTAATGCTTTTTGAAGTTGTTCCTATTCACCCAATTGTTCTGGCATTGATCAATGAATTTCTTATAAATAGAGCAACTCACACTCCAAAGTCTTCCAGGACCAATGGCAGCAGGTTGAGGCAAAAGGGAGTGAACACCTTCATCCTTCCAAGCGTGACAGCAACCAGTTGGAAGGCTCTTTGCCTCCTTACAACAAACGTTTTTTTGGGCGCTGCTTGAGACGGCGAACATTCTGGACCTCGCACAACGCAGGACCCCTCAGTCCCCTCAGGCATCCTCAGACCATCCCCGCCTGCGCAAAGAGAGCATAGACCTGTGCGACGAGCGACGAGCGACGCGCGATGCCCCCGTTGGGATGGAACAAAAACTATACCGAACAAACCTCTTGGGAATCCGTCTGGCTGGGGGTGCTTAGGCTACTGGCTAGTCCAAAGGCTGAAGAAGCCTGTGGAACCCTGGGTTGGCCAGGCAACGGCAACGGTCAAATGCCAAACCAAAGTTGGCAACCCGAGCAATTACGTCAAACCATCATAAGGACCTTCGGGTACCATCCTCATAGGGTCGTAGGTTCACAATTACTCCTTATAAGAACTGAAAAATGGAAGAACATGGTGCCACTGTGCCACTGGAACACCTCCCATCACCTCCCATCCCGGTGACCCTCTGAGGGTCAAAAAGCTATACAACACCAAAAAAAACGAAGACGCCCCCTCCCTCTCTCTCTCTCTCTCTCCCCGCTTCTCCGCAGTGTTCCAGCTCTTCCAGGTCAAAAACACGAGCCGGGCGGCCGTTAACACCAAGAAGACGGTCATAAAACTGTAGCTGTCCACGAACTGCGAACCTGAGCGTCCACGCCGCTAGTCCTCTACTCCTGAGCCTCTTCGGACACTTCTTCAGAAGTGCAAGCAGCCCTGCAAAAAGGCTCGGGAGGAGACGAGAGCTTGAATGAACGGGAGAGATGTCAAGCATCTCCTTCCAATTCTTTCAGGGATTGGTTGGAACATGTTGGAACACTCCTTGTGACACTTGTGCCTTCATGCGTGAGGGAAACCAGCACTCCCATGCACAGACTTCGTCACATAATCCAAAGAAGGTGAATGTGGCAGAAGGCTTAGCTGAGCCGCCCTGGGCGCCACTGTCTGGGCCATCCGGTTTAACATCTGCTTGGTTCAAGGAACAAAGGATCCAAACCTACAAAGGCATCTTGTGTATCCGTGCTGTTCAAGGACGGCACCAACCAACTGTCCCAGAGAACCCACATATATACATGCAGGGTGTCGTTGGTACATGTTGTCCATCAACGACGCTCCCATCCAGAGCTACCAAGAGACAATATAGACATTCATCATTGCCTTCCTTAGATCGTACGGTCGCATCCGCGCAGGAAATGTCCAAGGAAATTCACGCAGATCCTGAGCCGTCTGATTTCCAAGTGAGTAGGTCAACGATCTCAGACTTACTAGAGTAAATCCATGGAACTCTACCAAAAAAAACTATGAAGTGAGGAGTCAGGAGGCCGAACATTAAGGCCACCCTAACAGTCCAGTAAAAACATAGTCAAACAGTGAAGCCTAAAGTCCAAACATGAAAAATGTTGTATTACTGTGTACTGGATGTTTGGACTCTGGGGTGTCATCGGCATCCGCTCACGTGGACTTGCCAGTCAACAAGGAGGCATACCGGGAAATTGGCGCTATACTTAGTGATACTTCACGCGTCTCGCCATGATTCCCCATCCATTCTCCCAAAGCCAAATCTTCCTACCTTCAAACCAACTCCTCTCACCGCAATGCTCTCTACGCAGCCAAGCCGCCGAACTAAAGACTTCCACTTGGGAGAGCTCCGTCATGCCGCTTGGTTGACGGTTCACCTCCTTGCCGTGAGCACGGTGGACGGTGGTGCTGGGACCGATAGCTGCAGCACCGTAGCCAACAACACTGCCAGGTGAACCTTCACAAAGGGTAATGGACCAAATCTCGGGTTACAGGAACCTAGGAACCTAGTCATGGTCATCCAATCATATCCACATACAATTGTCACAACAAAAGAAATCATACCAAAAACGCTGGTGAACTGTGGGTCCAGCTGAATGTGTGGCGTAGCACTAACCGCCAGAACCCTTCCACATCCCCTCCGCCGTGCGAGACAAAAGCAAAACCCGCGCATCACGCGTGCCACGTGCCGGCCCGGCCCGGCTCGGGGGCGCGAGGGCGGCCTGCTCCGCCACATAGGCTGCTCTGAACTCTGACCGGAGCACCTCGTCGAGGTTCAAGGATCGGGTACTCCTCAGGCGCTGCCGGAGCAGGCCGTGGGCGGCGGCGTGGGTGGAACATGTGAGACATGTGCTGCAGCCAACCTGGAGTGGTGGCTGGATCATAGGTGCAGGGAACTGGTCGCAGTTGATTTTTGGTCACATCAGAAGGGAAAGGTTGAGCTGCCTGTCGAAGAAGAATGATCAGCTTGCAAGTTCCAAAAACACACAACAGGTTTAATTTGGAGCACTTTCGGTGGAGCAGTCAGCCCGTTCATTGCTTGAGATGGCATACTTTTCAATACAGCACTGAAGCTCCACCGAAGATCTACTTGGAGATTCTCATCGCATTCCACGGCCTTGGGACGCCTTGGGTCTAATTTCCACTTGACTGTAGATCCAAAACCATCAAAATCAGAATTCCACACTCTCCCGCGCCTTTCAGGTCATCTCAGGTCTTAGGGATGCTTAGATGCTACAGTACTTGCTTCACCCACACCGACTGGACATGTCCAGTCCAACGCTCCCCAAACAACGTCATGGCCGGTGCCCCGTGTGGACGAGCAACGACCTGAGGAACGGCTGATCGCTGTCCGACATCAACCTCAGTGGAGATCGCTGGGCTAAAGATCGTGGGATCCAAGTGGCACTCGCCTTCACCATGATTGAGGGATGTCGGGTTCAATTAGGGACTTCTAGACTCTGGACATTTGTGGATTAAATTCAGATCCTTAATGTAAAATGCACTTTCCGGCGTGAAGAGAACCCTTCCCCTCCCCTGCCCCCCCAAACAAATAACACACGTCCCACCGTGCCCCCCGTCCCAACCGTCCCACCCGTCCGCGGCGGTCGCCGCACGCGTTCTCTCTCCAGGCGTCTCTTTGCTGGAGGACTTGAAGAAGTCCATGGCCTTTCAGCTGCGGAGCGTCAGCGTTCCTCTCACCCGGAACCGACCGAGTTCATACACAAACGGTCAAAGCTGCAAGTCTTCGGAGACCATGGGGGGTGGTTTAATCCACATGGGGGAGGTGCTATGAAGCATCAAGAATGGTCTATATTGTACATATATATATATACATATATGTCATATGTCTACATTTGTCGGTGGAAAGTGATGAAAAAAAACATGGAAAAACTCGAAGTTCGCCATTATCAAACACATGCAAAGAAAGCACCCTCAGAGATATATCTGCGGGGAATATGCCTTCCCAACACTCCAGCAAAACAATTGTCGAACATTTGTCGTTGCTGCCTCCTTCGAGGAGACTACCTCACCACCTCTTCAACTTTAAGGGTTGCCAAATGTTTGGGTTTTCCACCGTGCACAGCACCTGGTCCGTGCTTCAAGATCTCTCAAACTCCAAGTTGATGAGTTGCGGAATTAGCTCAGGCCCTGATCTTCTTTCATCATCTTGAATTGTTTTTGAAGGATAAGCAACCTGACTTGGAGGCTAAACAACTCCCCACTTGTATCTTCATCTGTATCGTCATTTGTCTATAATTAGCCTGTGAAGAGGCACATAGAGCTTCCTTGATCGATTTGCTTTGACCGAGATTCCTCTTCTCTCGCACTGACGCACTCACTCCTCCCCCCGGCGCATCCTCCGCGCGCGCGCGCCCCGTCTGCCTTGTTGGCCCTCGGATGCTCCAAGTCGCCCGGTGGGACGAACCACGGGTCCCCGGTGGTCCATGGTGGTCCCAACAGGGGTCGGTCGCTTTGAAGAGAGATGAATGAGGAATCGTGGAGTTGGGGGATCTAAGTGGGATCTGGGATCAGTGAGGAGCAACAAAAAACCTCCCTCCCAAGCCCAAGAATTATGGAAGTGGACCAGCTCCTTTCGGTAAAGGGCAATGGATCTTCTAGGTTCTAGGGGGCCATTACTTCGATTGTTGGGGTAAGCAACCCAAAGATCTATTTTCGGAATTCGGAGAAAACTATGAGGGGCATCATTGCATCATGGTAAGAATTGATGGTGTCACAGTGACATGCAACAGAAAGAATGGATCATTTTCAACTAATCACAACCGTGCTAATGACATCTGTGCTCACCACCTGGTCACATATAATGATTTGTGGGGTTTGTTTCTTTCGCAAGGTTCAGGACTTGGTCGTTTGCATCTGGTTCTGAGGATCTTCTATCCAGGTCCACCATGCAGGACAGTTGTCCCAATGATTGTGCTCGATGGAACTGTCCAACTGTGACAGCAGGACTTGCGAAGGCATCATTGTTTTTTTGGTAAGGAACCGGAGAAAACAACATCTTCCCCAGAAGGGGATTCCTCTGTGTATATATGTATATATTGATATATAATTATATGTGTGAATATACACACCCATGTGCGTGTAGAAACAACAACATCCTCAGCACAGCCCAGTCGCCGGTCGCTGTTCACGTGCCGCCACAGAGACCATTGCCGCGGCATCGGTCCGATGATGGTCTCGGTCTGTCTGTTTCGAGGGTGAGGCTGTGAGAGATCTTCCAAGGCAACAACAAGAATCCGGTGTTTTTGGGGCGCCACGTCTGGGAGTTGACCCCCATATTGACTCTCTGGTGATTCTGAAGCTCGGAGGTGCTCAAGGAACTAGGAACTGAGCTTTTCGACATTCTTGGCCAAAGAATGTGGTTTGGAGGTGGTGGGCCCAGAAAAGCCCACAACTGTCAGTCATACTATATATATATATATATTACATCTCTATATATATATATATTTCATCTGAATCTGGGATCTTCTATCTCCCAAAAGTCGGGGCCTTTTGGGTTGTTTTCATCTTGGTGGCCGCGGCGACCTGGACCTCCTCATTTGGGACTCATGGGGGGGTGAAACACACGGTTTTCAGCTGAGAGCCCAAAGGAGGAGCGAGCCATTCAGTGTCCAAATCGGAGTGATGTCGTTCATCAACCTCTGTCTCTGTGTGTGTTGCTGACTCTGCGTATCATGAATGATCATGAATGTATCTGAACTCGGTACAATCTGACTGGTTTGTAGACGATTTTTTAATGGATCTGGGCGACCTCTGGAAAATGCCACCGAGGTCCAATCCACCTGTCTCAAAGCTGGGGTGGCAACTGGCCATCCGGGTTGTAGGGTATAGCTGCAAGAGACATGAATCGGCTGCTACGTCTGATTTGCACCTTTAATTTGCAGTACGCCTTTGTGGGGTGAGAACTGACTCCTTCCTCTGAAACTCTTGCAACACAAGGTCTTATCAAAAGAGTGTTGAATTCATGTTGATTCATTCCATGTGGATCCACAACAGCACAAAGGTACCCTTTTAACCATCCACAACAGCTAGAAGAACTCCATGTGCTGTCCACATTTGTCCACTAATGTGCTTAACTTCCCACGAAGAACTCTAGCTGCTTAACTTCAACTCCATGGCACCCATTGGACCAACAAGTAGTCCCCAAGCTCCTGCTAAACACCAAGAACAGCTTCCCCAGCCTGTCACAAGCTCCCACCCTCCCAACCCAGACCAGCTCCCACCTCAACTGCCCCCTGAACCTCGACGGTTCGACCTGCATGGTGGGTTGGGGCCAGGGAACTTGCAGGTGACTGCTGCTCTCGCAGGTTGGCAGGCCACCAAGAAAAGGGACCCTTTGGTGTGTCCATCTTGTGTTCCATGTCTTCCATCTTGGCAAGATCTTCACATGTGGACTGTCCAGTACCAAAAGACGCAAGACATCGGAAGACAAGCCGGCCAATGAAAGTGGGGAGCATGCTGGAGGGGGCCCTCCGAGGACACAAAAGACATGACCAACCCCCAGTCATTCAGTGGCCCTAGTTGTCCTCGAATCCACTCCAACACAAATGGCCTACTGATTCTGCCGATGATCGCAGCTTGGATGAAGAGTTCGTGTCCATTCTGGACGAGTTTGCCCGGTTTGGTGCCAAATCATAACGGTGCTTGGACCTCCTTCTAAAGACTTGGACCTCCTGCAAAGACCTTCGCAAACAAAGTGTTTCGGCTACCTGGACCAACTTCTGCTGATGCACTTGGTCTGCGCCAAAGATGCCGCGGCATTTTTGGTCTCGACAATGCACGAGATGTCCAAACACGCTGGTGCAACGCATGAAAACGCGGGAGCTTGAAAACGCATGCTGCCTCGCTCCCCTAGCGTCAATGGAAGGGCCAAGGTTGTTTGGATCCTTTCCATGCCGCGACGCGAAATCCACTTCATCGACTGTACACTGTACAAAAACAAACAGCCTCGGCTGTTCCGATGCCACCGCAGTGTCCACGTCATTTTTCTGCCAAGGGGTCGTCCTGTCTGCTTGACCCACCGACACCCCCGGTGACGCGCGCGTCACGCGCGGCGCCAGCGCCGCCCCCGCTCGTCCGCCCCGGGCGCGTCGCCCGGCGCGGTGGCAGCAGCGTCGGCAGAACCGGCGTCGGCGAGGAGGTTTCGGAGAACCTGTCCACGAGCCTGGGAGCGGATCGAAGTTGAAGTGGTTCGGTTGAGAGTGGGTATATATATATATATATATATCATTATGTACATCTAATATATTACAATAACATGTAATTGCATGGGATCCAGGTACTTCCTGAGGATCTTTGGAGCGCCAAAGGATGTCCTCGGGATGTTCCTGGACCCTTGGGGAATATAATATAAAGATGTTGAGAGTGAGAGTGTGGTTTGAGAGGCAAATACGGGACACACACAGGTGTAGATGTCTGATGCTGAGTCAGTGGCCTCGACCTTGAAATGTGTCTATTCGACCTTGATCTTGGATATCTTGGGCACATGCACCCATAACTTCCATAACCAGGGCCCAGTGGATGATGATTGATGGTTAGGTTACAGTCCTTTCTCAGAAAACGTCATCGTTTTTTTTACTGACCTTGGTTGATCTTATCGACGCCAGTGTGGTGAGATAAAACATGGGCAACAGTACTGACACGGGATCAATTCACTTGTGAGGTTTGGAGGGTGACCAGTGACCAGTGACAATGACGCGCCCAAACTCTGAGCCAGCAAAACGACACTAGTTAGTATGCACGTCCTTGATCTGAAGCAGTACCAACAAAAGATCATCTGATATCATCTGATAGTCTGATAGATAAGGACATTCCTCTGATTGCTGGCCAGCCACAGTTGGATCTTCATCCAACTCGATGTCTTTACAAAGATTCGGCACTCCGGCACGAAACCCCAAAAAGGAAAGAAAAACAGACGAATCCACGCCGTTCTGCTGCTCGCGCACCTTCATCCAACTCTGCTGGCCCGAGCCATCGAAGTCCCAGTTCTCCCAGTCCTTCGCACGAAATTCGGCAACTTCCCTCGGACGACCTCTCCGAACCGTCCGTCCTCATCCCGACCGTCCCCGGTCACCGTCACGGGTCCGGTCACTGAACCTCTCACTCATTGGGATGTTCACCTGAAAGGGAACCACCCTACTTAGTCCACGAGATGGGAACATGTTGGAAGATTTTGGAGGTTCCAACACGCATAGGAGGTGTTAGGGGATGTGGAAGCGGAAAAAAGGGGTTATGGAATGTTATGGTCATGGTGGGTTCATGACCCTTACAGAAAAGGTCAAGGTGGAATTCCCTCCAAAAGGAGTGTGTTGGAGGCATCTAGCATCAACAAAATAACATCAGTTATCTGCTTCTCATGGACAGTTTCACCACCAAACAGCCCTTGTTCTGCAAGTCAAACCCCCCATTCAAACAAACCCCAAGGGGTCAAACCCATCCAGATCAGATCCCAAGTCTACCTGAGAACACTTGCAGAAACCAGGAGCCTTATGGAGCCTTTCAAGTGCAAGGCCTTTCATCTCTTCAACCTCACCTGCCCCACACATCGCCCCCACACACCCATCTGCCACCCACCGCACCGCCCGGGCTACCGGTGGCTCCTGCAGGCTGTGCTTGGAGGCATCGGTCCAGTCGGCCCACACCGAGCCATTCCGCTCCACAGCCGCGGCGCAAAGCCTGCGAAAAGAGGTGGAACACCCTCCCGAGGTAGGTCAAGGACCGGTTAGTGTATTCTACTGGCAGCAACTTGAAGAAGTGCATACAGTGCATATACACAAATCTGTATCTTGAACCTAAGTTTGTGTAGAGTACTACTATGGTCTATCGTTCTGGTCGAATCACGCGGGTCAGCTGATGTGCCTGAGCATAGGGCCTACTCGTCCTCCCCATAGCTCGCCGTCGTGGTACTCAAGGGGGCCCTGTTCCTCCTGCAGGTGGCAAACACGAGCAAGGGGTTTGAAGGGTGATAACCTTCATGAAGACGGGAAAGGGAGTGGTTCCAATGATGCTTAGGCCATGTGGAGGCCCAAGAAACTCATGTGAAGTCTACCACGACAATAAACTCAAAATTGCCAGGCCTCACACAACCAATCGCTGCTAGGCAACCTGCATTTCTGAGGATATTCTATACTCATTTAGTTAAATCCAACGGTTTTTTGGTGCCCTCATCAAATCCTCGTCCAGTCCGAGTCGATTCACCCATCAACCGCTGCATGGGGTCAGTTCAACCGCTGCCCTTTCTCACCCCCACCGGAAATGCCACGTGTAGGACGTGTCCTTGAAGTACTGCAAGGCTTCCACTGCCTTCTCCATGCCCTGGCTGAGTTGGATCTCCAAAAACCAATTAGATAGATGCGAGAGATGAGTTTTGGAGGACTAGCCTAAGCCAACAAAGCGCGGCACTGTTCGGGAAGAATCTTGAAATTGCCAGAGACCCCAGTATTGTAGATTGACGAGGTTTATCCTCTTGTTAGTGAGGAAAGGCCCCTTTGGTCCTTTGGTCAAATCCTGGCACCCTCTGTGGCATCTTGATGCGCCATCTTGGCGTGCGCCATCTTGGCGTCACCTTAGTCTTCGAGCTTTCCTTCGGCTCGAAAATGTGGTTTTTGCCACTGCTCAAGGGGGTATCAAATACTCTTCACCTCAATGCTTATCACGAGCCTCCAGCAGTCTCCAAGCATCTTAAGAGAATCTTCGGATTCTGTCTGTACTGAACCTGCGACCCCCCAACCCCCAAGCAGGTGCACCAGCTCCCGCCTCACAGCTGCTCAGGCTGCAACCGCTCCTATCGCCAAACACTGGCGATGTGATGGCAGGCTCACCCGGCAGTGACCCCCGGACGGTGGCCAATATGCCAAACATCTAAGGAACCCCCATGTAGCATGTAGCTCGAAAAAATGACTGCATTGCTTTATTTATGGCAACTAGCAGCTCGCCTCTTCCAAGTCTAAGCCAAGCTGCCCATCGCGCTGCCCCAGCCAGCTCTTGGTCTCCGCGGCGGTGGCCTTAAAGAAGATAGACAAAGAAATTCCGGAAAGAAACACATCCCTTGGGATGGAGAAGAACTTCTTGGAGATCTCCCAGTGTTGGCACTGGACTTGGCACTGGCTATTCTTGGAAGTAACACACGCGGTTCCGGAAGATGTGCCCAGTGATTTGGTGGAAATATGTGCTTTCAGGGGCTTTTGCACAGGTCTTGTCTTGTTGGGAACTCTTTCATTAACAGTTGCCCTCCCCCCCATGAGCAACCGGAACAGTTCAACCGGACACCGGACACCACACTGTTTGGCGCAAATCTTGGAACTGGAACTGCAAAACTCACTTCTTGTGTTCCTGTGCTTGTTGCTGTTGCTGTTGTTTTCTCTAAGCTTGCTGGGTTTCATCCTAGTACGTGCTCCAAACTTACCATGTGTTCAGCCCAGTGGCCATCATCTGCAACATTTGTACACTGCCATCGCGCCAAGCAATGCTGGGCACCACTCTGGACCTCCAGCGCTGGAATCAAGAGATGGGACTTTCACGAGTACCCACCACTTGCCCGCCATCTGAACAAAAGAATTGATGGTTTTGACATGTCTTGACCTGACCTCATCATTAGGCTATTGGATTCTGATACTGTTTCTGGTGCCTGGAAGACCTTCAGTCATCTCCTCCCTCCCTCCCTGCCACCCCCCCCCCGCGGACCCCTCTGCCAACGCGTCAGCAGCTGCCCGCACGTCGGCAGCTTGGAGCAGGCGCACGACGGGGTGCAAATGGCACGCAGCTGAGGCCTGTGCCAGACATTCAGGGACATCCAGGGACCACGCAAAAGCGGTAAAATGGCAGTATGACCCTCTTCGTGGCATGTGCAAGCATTCTAGTGCATTCTATCTGCTTCTGAGATCCGACTCAATGGCGCTTCTGGCGCCCAACGAAGCGACTAACGAAGCGGATTCAAAGGCTCCAAACATCTCCAGACACCACTTGACATCCTGACATAGACGTAGCATTCCCAATTGATGGAGTGAAAAGAGACGAGTGGCTTTTGCCGCATGGAGAAGTGAGAAGTGGACTGACCATCGCCATGCAAAACCTGGAATGAAGGGGAGAGAAGATTTGGAGAAAATAGACATTTTGGGGGGGGGGCGGAGAGTGTGGAGCATTTTAGACACACCAGTTTGCGGTCTCAAAGCCATGACCTCTCGGACGAAGTGGCCGGTTCCTGCCGTTGAAAAAGCAAACCTTTCCCAGCGAAACCTGCTGAGTCCCTCTGAGTCAGGCGAAAGCAACCAGCTCTCCAGGTGCAGGAGATCCAAAGACTGCTCCAGGCACTTTAGCACACTCCCTGAAACAATCACGGAAGTGGACAATGGCCCCTTGGAAAACGATGTTCCTCAACCAACAGGGGGTGAACTCCACTTCCATAGGTTTCTTGCAGGGAGGGTACTGTATAATGGTGATTGAATGTGTGTGATAGTATGAGTAATTTTTCTGCAAACCCTCCCTATTCAGCATCCGATTCCTCCAGCCCTTTTTGGCCGGCCTCGTCAATATAGGAGAGGGGCCTGGCAGATCTGTCGAAGCTTGGCCTAAGGGACTTTGGAAACCCGACATCACGTGGCCCTCAGGGAGTATTTGACAGAAGTCAGTCGTGTGTTGAGACCTGCATACTGATGACCATCTCAACTTCGTATGTCTATAACATTCTATAACCATATAGCCACCAATCTGTGCAGTTGTGCAACAGGAAAAAAAGGGCATGTTTCACATTGGAGTCCGGCTCATCCAACCGCTCGAACCGCTCGCCTCCATTCGTAGCCGAAAACGCCCTGGCTCTCGTCCACCTCGCCCCTCAGCAGTGGGGTGCATGGTTCTGGTGGTGAAGTGGTACGACGTCATGCACCTGTCACCCTTCGAAAGGGTCTCTTCCGTTGGCCTTTTCTAAGACGTGTCGAAGGTCCTAAGGTGGTGTCCTGTTGGAGGCTGGGGCCGGCTGGGGGGTAGAAGTCAGCCGGTTGAGATCTTTCGTGGGATGTGTGCGGATGTGCCATATCACCACCATGAGCATCGTGCATGCGGCAGGAAAAATGACCCTCTAATACCCTATAGCTCAAGCTCCTCTGCAAAGAAACGACCAAGAAATCCTCATAATCCACGTGAAATCTGAAAAGGGATGCAGATTCCACCTTCATGCTTGTCGTGCTTTCATCCAACCGCCGCCACCACCTCACCCCCACGAACACCGCGAACCGTCCACGTGAACCGGTGCCGTCCACGCGTCCACTGAGGGGGTTCTCGTGGACGCCACTGGTCGTCCAGAAATCCCACACCATCGCGGAGACCGTCGATCCTCGGGTCAACGGAGCGGGGGCAACGGAGCGCATCGAATCGCGGCATGCGCGCGAGCGAGGCGAGGAGTGGTTCTGAACGCCCGGCCTCGGTCGATTCGGTGGATTCGGGTGAGGAGCTCTGAGACCACCGTGGTGCGTTCTGTCATATACAAAAATGATCAAAAAATGGAAGCTCCGAACAAAGCGAAGGACGCGAAGGGGCCAAGGCTATCTATCTTTCAAACGATCCTATCCTCCTTACTCTACCATGTCACTCCGCGTACTTTGGCCGTGTCGGGCTAGGTCATTGTTGTTTTTGGGGCACGCATCACGAGCCAGTCGCTCCACCCAGAGGCAAAATGTCGTGGTTTCATGTCCCAGACACTCCATGGGACTGCCATATATATATATTATATAATATATATATATATTGATGCCTCAAACCACCCCAATGTAGGCATATATGGCATACACGGAGTGTCTGGGTGTGGGTTGACCTTCCGTTTCAAATCTCGAAGGCCTCACCCCTGGAGACGTTCGCCAATCGAACATGCGCGACGCGCGAAGCTCGTTTCGCCGCCGTGGCCTTCGGCCCTTTTTCGGTGACCGCGCGTCCGACATGGGGCTGGCAATGTCAGTTCATCTGCAGAGCTCAAGAGTTTACTGTCATAAATTCTTCGAATTGCTAGATGCCAGTAATGTCTCTGGAAAATCAGGTGTTCACCAGCAAGGTGCCTCAGTAGGTGAGAAAATTCTGGCACCCAAGCCCCATCATGCCTCATTTCTCTTGCAGCCTCTGCTCCAAACGGTCACTCCGGTGGTGGACCGTGTCGTCATACCGAAGCTGAAAGATGCGAGTTTTGGGGATGAAATTTGGACAACAGGATGCAACAAGAGTACAAACTCCGAATGAACAGATTCTTTTAGGCCCTTGGTGCATCTTAAAAGTGAGTGGCGGACATCGAGCAACTTGAGCCAAGTGAGGGTAAAACCATCTGATTTCCAAGATGAAAACCTGATGAAACCTGATTTTGAGCGCCCTCATAGTTACACATGAGTCCCTTGATCATGTCTGGCGTAGTTCTACAGCTCTTGGGTGTTTCGACAGTTCTACTCCCTCAGCTGCCTTGCTTTGGGGCAGCTGGGGTCCATACTCATGTTCATCTCAGTGTCTTCCAAGTCCATCTTGGTCCATGAACTTGCACATGATTAAAGCCTCCCCAATTTAAAAACACCACTTTTTAATAGCTGGACATGATTGTTGATCTAGCCGAATTCCCTGCAGGGATATGGGATGATCACTGGGATGATTCCAAGTGATCATTCAAGTCGAACACGTGGGGCCTGCACCAGCACGCAAGGTAAAGATATGAGCAGTCTGCTCCAAAACGTGGGAAGAAACAGAGGCATAAATTCCACTTTGGCGGGAGTTCTACCCGGTTTTGATTAGACATCACACCCTTTCACCAAAAGAGTATCGACAAAAGCCTCTCGACCTCGCTGCGCTGCGAGATGAACTGACAAGCCCGCTAGGCGAGCCTCATGCCCCCACCGCGTCTTGATCCGACAGATAGGGCCGGAGCAACCAGGGATGACAGGTAAATTGACCCCTCTCAGATACAGTGATTTCAGAGTAGATGGCACGTTTCCCCCATGATGTCCTAGACCGATGGGGGTCCATGTAAACCACCGACATTGAGGATAGTGCCATCTACTCTCAATCCACTTTTTTCATTCCCTCCTTCGATTCCGGCGTCCATCATCTACAAATGATCAACACTTCTTTCCTCCAAACGCCCGAACCCCATAATTACTATCTAACCCCCTGAAGATTAAGGGAAAAAAGAGGTGGCCTGAAAGGCCGGATTTAGATGGTGTTGGAATGTATTGGAGAGGACGGCGCCCAAAGCGGCATTGCAAACACAGATCTCACGCAGCCGTTCGTAAGGCGGACTGGACGGAGGTCAGGGCTGTTGGGTACAAGCACTGGTGCTCAGTTGAACCTTGGAGGAGCCGCGTATTCTTTTGTCGGCTGGCAGGTAGAAGCGGGTGTTGAATTAGAAGCCTTTTGGCTTCCAATGAAGCCTAAACATCGTTGGTGACTAGGGTGCTCTTATCCAACCCTTGTAGAAGCTGTTGATCGGGTGCCCCCTTTAGGCATGCTTACAGGGATGCGCACGTCCAATGGTGAGGGATTTGCAGAAATCGAACTCTCGCACTTGGTTGAATATGCATGGTTGAATAGTACAAAAACATATACAACCATAACACGTGATGAAACCTTATCATTATTTCATCTTCGAGGGCGTTTCAATGACAAAACAACCACACACGAGTGAAGTTCGGGGTGATTTTTCCACACCAAAACCAAGATGCTTCACACCCGTGGATTCACCAATCTTCGGTCTGAGTCGATGGCCCAGGATTCCCCTCCAGAATGCTCCTCCATAAGAGTGGCCGAATGGGCAAACTTCTCGTGAACTCTCGTGAACTCCTTATGGTCCGCAGTCCACAACGCCCTGGCACGCCGTCCGGCATCTGTGCCGCGGGACTATGCACATGAGCGAGTTAAGCTGCTCGGGTGATCTCAATGTATTCACCCGATCAGGCGAGTGCCTGAAGCCGCTGCCGGCACAATGCATTTCAAAGAAATTGGACATTGAAACTTGATCCATGTCATAGAATTGCGTGCCACAGCTTTGTACAGTCAGCCATTGGTGATCACACACCCATTTCTTCCTATGCCAGGATGCCAAGCCACCTACCCTATAAAACTTATGTCCCGAGAAGCTAAATTCCAATAGTCTAGCGGATCACATATTCATATCTCATCGTTATGGACCTTTTCATGCTCAAGAAGAGACCAAAGGCTTCTACCCGATTCTACGAGTATCTTCATATGCCTGACGAGACAGAAAGTACTCTGGATCAACACTGGAGGCACACATCGTGGTATCTCCCAGCCGAGGGTTGCTAGATTACTCATCTTCAATGGAGGTCCGTTCCAAAGCGAGGACAGTGGGCTTTGTAATCTTTGCATCCGCTCCAGCCCCAAAGGTCGAGTTTGAAGGAGGCTAGAACTGGCAATGCTCGCTCTCTCTCTCTCTCTCTCTTGCTTCTACTGAAGGCCTTCAGGTACTTCACCAAATGGAGAAATGGATAGAAATGGGATCAAGTGGAAACGCGATAAACATACAAATAGCTACTCTTCTGATCCCTTCATACTCATCAAAGATTACTCATTGTATCGACCCAACTGTTTAGCGCCCAAAATGATTCATGGTTCTGGCCAGGTCTTCTGTTCTCTAGTTCTAGTGCCAGGTTCATGGCTCTTTGAAATGCTGACCTTGCAGACTAACTCGCAGGTATCGTCACTAAGCCCAAATGAACCGCCTCGGCTTGACGCACCGATTGATACGCGATACAGAACGGCCGATTATGCCCAGGTCTCAGTGTGTGGAGAAGGTGGCTATGCTGCAACTGAATTCTCACCCACCCACCCACCCACCCACCCAAAAGAGTCCTGGTAGACAGGGGATGACATGGGATGACCAATGCATTGCAGTTAGTTAATCGGAGAGTTTGTTCATAAGATCAACCTCAGCATGGATCTGATGTTAACCGTTTAACCTGAGTCAAACGACGTGGCTGCCACACAAACGTGGTTCTCTGCAGGGAAGTCGTGACCTCCCTCCTTCTTATGGAATTTCTATATTGTTTCTACTAGCTTCTTGCTCCTAGTAGTAAGGCCAGGAGCCCCTAGTAGCGTTCTTGTTCCTAGTAGCGATGCCCTTTGCTCCTAGTAGCTTTCTTATGGAATTTCTATATTTGCTGTTTCGCACCTTGTTGGTAGAAAGTCATGCGCTACATCAACCAATGCTGCTGGATGGTGACGATTGAAATGACAGCCACCGACTGCCAAACACTATTGCACAAACCTTCTCTCCTTGTTATTTTTTGGGGGGAATGTCGGGGGTTCGTGCAACGAGCAGTCAGTTGGCTGGTTGATGCCTCCATCTTGGGATGCGGAACTCTAAGCTGTACCTCATCCCAATGGCTTCGGTTTCGCCAAACGACCAAATGGTTCTGTGATCGTTCCACCAGTCAGAATCACGCTTCCATCATGTTCCATGGAGCGTCGGGCTTTCGAGGAAATTGACCCTATAGGGGCTCTGCGGGCTCTTCGTTGAGAAGTGGCCGAGCCCCGTACTATAGATACGATCCATTCCCTCATTCCTTACGCTCTACGAAGCATGCTTTGACCCTTCAATCCAAGTTCTTGTGGAGATTTGGATGTTGGTGCCCTGCTGAAAGGTAAAACATCGACCAAAACCAGCACCTTTTGCGGAACTGGAGTCAAGGAAATGCACGACATCTGCAAGTGGCCTTCCTTTGAAGAAGAGTAAGTAAGTTCGTTGCGTTGGTGGTACTTGCTCCGGACCCCGCCCTCACGATGCAGTCTCCGTGAAAGATGATATCAAGCTGCGACATGTTGGGGCGAGCTGTCTTGGTGGTCCAAAAGAGATCCTGGCATCGCACCATGGCGCGATGGCAGGTTGGCAGGATCAAAAGGGTAGACAGCAAACACGCTGCAAGCTATATCCGGATCCACAGTAAATATGGAGGACAATGGGGACTTGTGCTCTTGCTGCCACTTCAGCATTGATTGCACAAATGGCAGAATTTGTGTTATTAATGCTGCAACAGTTTCTGAACTGATGAAAGCACGACAAGTTAAACATACACAAGGACGCCAACCAACAACATCACCTCTGCAACGAAACCTGCGTCCACCCCAAAAGACCCAGCCACCCAAAAAGCACCACACACCGGCACTCCAAGCTCAGTATCCATCAGGGTCTTATCAGTATACTCCTCACAACCGGCCAGAATCCACCGGTGAAGCCATGCTGAAATCACATGCAAAACGCTCTCCTTGGTGGTATTCGTCTTGGCCACGGAGATCGGCGTGTCGCCGGTGGTCATGCGCTTGCACTGGGGAACGGCCGGGGAGCGACCG